ACGATAGGCAGTATCTAAGTAATTTCGTCGTAGATCACTGCCTGCACACAATCAATAGATCCAGCGGCAACAAATTCCAAATCGTTTCAGTTTCGAAATCATCGATAATATTTTCTGACAACAATTATCCCATTTCCTTCGTTGAAAGCGTTACGTTCACCAAAGATTTAATAGTTATGCCAGTTCTCCTAAATAATCATTACACATTACAGATTTTATCTATCACGGAAAATTTAGTGACGTTTCTTGATCCCATGGGTACCTAATGAGTTACTCTTCAAAAATACTTATTGTGAAAGACTGTCAGCATTTTTGAAGTATAAAAAGATAAGCATAACCAAGTTCAATTTTGAAATACCAGACCACGTTATACAAAAAGACGGTTATAACTGCGGTGTCTATATAATACATTTTTTCCAAAAACATGAGGCTGGACTGTCAAGTAGATATAGATGAACAAAGGATAAATTTCAAGTGGATGTTACAGCTCAGTTATGACGGATATTTGCCTTTTCTGTGCCTGTTCCACAGCTCGAGACAAGGCAGATTGTATTTTCGCTTGTAGGCTGTGTAGATGAAGCATTCATTTGAAGTGTCTCCTTACAGCAGCGGAATTGGAGAAAAATATAGACGTAATCGAGAAAATGCGTAATAAAATATGTGACCTCTGCAGAGCCAACTAACTAAATGCTTCACCTAGATATAATACGTTTCCATTAATAGATACATTTGGCTGCCCCTTCTTTAGTAGATACCATATAGCGTGATCTGGTCCACTAATTTCAGAAATTTTGGGCTATGTCGCATTCTGGGGAATTATTTCCTTGGAGGTGAACATGAATTCTTACTTATTTTTCTTATCTGCTATCTCTCCTTGTCGTCTAGCTTATAAATAGTCTCTATAATAGAGTATTTTTTTGAGGTACAACTGATTTTGGGGAGTCATTTCCTTGGGGGTGAAAATGAATTTTTTTAGCATATTTTTTTATCTGCCAGCCTTTCAGAAGCTTTCTCACACCATGCCACCCAGCCTATAAATAGTCTCTATAATAGAGTATTTTTTGAGGTACAACTGATTTTGGGGAGTCATTTCCTTGGGGGTGAAAATGAATTTTTTTAGCATATTTTTTTATCTGCCAGCCTTTCAGAAGCTTTCTCACACCCTGCCACCTAGCCTATAAATTGATTCTATAATAGAGTATTTTTTTTGAGGTACAACTGATTTTGGCGAATCATTTCCTTGGGTGTGAAAATGAATTTTTTAGCATATTTTTTTATCTGCCAGCCTTTCAGAAGCTTTCTCACACCATGCCACCCAGCCTATAAATTGTCTCTATAATAGAGTATTTTTTTGAGGTACAACTGATTTTGGGGAATCATTTCCTTGGGGGTGAAAATGAATTTTTTTAGCATATTTTTTATCAGCCAGCCTTTCAGAAGCTTTCTCACACCATGCCACCCAGCCTATAAATAGTCTCTATAATAGAGTATTTTTTTGAGGTTCAACTGAATTTGGGGAATCATTTCCTTGGGGGTGAAAATGAATTTTTTTAGCATATTTTTTATCTGCCAGCCTTTCAGAAGCTTTCTCACACCATGCCACCCAGCCTATAAATTGTCTTTATAATAGAGTATTTTTTTGAGGTACAACTGATATTGGGGAATCATTTCCTTGGGTGTGAAAATGAATTTTTTAGCATATTTTTTTATCTGCCAGCCTTTCAGAAGCTTTCTCACACCATGCCACCCAGCCTATAAATTGTCTCTATAATAGAGTATTTTTTTGAGGTACAACTGATTTTGGGGAATCATTTCCTTGGGGGTGAAAATGAATTTTTTTAGCATATTTTTTATCAGCCAGCCTTTCAGAAGCTTTCTCACACCATGCCACCCAGCCTATAAATAGTCTCTATAATAGAGTATTTTTTTGAGGTTCAACTGAATTTGGGGAATCATTTCCTTGGGGGTGAAAATGAATTTTTTTAGCATATTTTTTATCTGCCAGCCTTTCAGAAGCTTTCTCACACCATGCCACCCAGCCTATAAATTGTCTCTATAATAGAGTATTTTTTTGAGGTACAGCTCATTTTGGGGAATTATTTCCTTGGGGGTGAAAATGAATTGTTTTGCATATTTTTTATCTGCCAGCCTTTCAGAAGCTTTCTCACACCATGCCACCTAGCCTATAAATAGTCTCTATAATAGAGTATTTTTTTTGAGGTACAACTGATTTTGGGGAATCATTTCCTTGGGGGTGAAAATGAATTTTTTTAGTATATTTTTTATCTGCCAGCCTTTCAGAAGCTTTCTCACACCATGCCACCCAGCCTATAAATAGTCTCTATAATAGAGTATTTTTTTAGGTACAACTGATTTTGGGGAATCATTTCCTTGGGGGTGAAAATGATTTTTTTTGCATATTTTTTTATCTGCCAGCCGTTCAGAAGCTGCACACCATGTCACCTAGCCCATGAATTGTCTCTGTAATAGTGTATTTTTTTGAGATACAAATCATTTTGGGGAATCATTTTTTTGGGGGTGAAAATGAAGTTTTATTTATATTTTTTCATCTAGCACCCCTTTAGAGATTTTCTCAGTATATGCTATTTAGCTCATTAATTACTTTCAATACAGTAATCGGTAAGTGAAAATTCGATGAAAGGTTTTGGGTTAACTCTTGTTCCTGCGAATTATTTAATTAGGGTGGAAAATGATTCTTCCTATAGGGGTGCTTATTCTCGTGCATATATATTTATTGTTGCGAGCTGTTAGCTGTATCCTTCACAATCACAGTCTGGTCGAGGATGTCGACGCCACTGGTCATTCGGTTATCTTCGGCAAATTGTCCGCTAAATTTTGTCTGCCAACTTCACACCGGTAATTCGATCGAACATCTCGATATAAATATAGACTATCGACGTTTGTACAGTATCGATGGCTCGTACCCATCTTGTAATTCCAGCAGTAGCGATCAGCCTACCAACGCTACTGATCCGATTGGTTTGTTCTTAAGGAAAAGTTCAAAATATTGAACTTTATTTTAAGAAGTGACCTTGAATAAGAAAATGACCATAACCTCAATATGTTTAGTCATTTATTCAAAAATGTACTGATTTGAATACTTACTGCAACGTCTTCATTAGACGCTCCTCTGGCACTAATCGCACAAAAAACAAGTCCAACACAGAAAAACACACCCGAAAACGAACACCAAAACAAATCTCTACCGCAAATTCGCCAACAACTCAAACAAAAACAACAGAAACCGCCTGGCTTGGTCCGTAAGTCGTCGTGGAACACGAGAAGCCACAGGATTATTATAATTACGTCAATACGAGCATAAAACAATATGGAAAGGGCTATCCAAGGGTAAAACTTATTTCGACTTGGAATATTCAACATGCACAATTTCCATTCGTGGACCGTGGAAAATCCACACGCTATTCGCCGACACAGCTTTCAACGTCAGTTCGGCGTTAATTAATGGGCTGGAGTACTCAACGAAAAATTAATTGGACGTTATGACTTGCCCGCCAGATTGAATGGTCATATCTTGCTTTTCTACAAAGCAGTTTGCATGAGCTGCTAGAGGATCTAGTTTGGACGTTCGAAGCTGCATGTATTTTCAATGCGATGGTGCCCCATGCCACTTTGCACGGAATGTACGGCATTACTTAGGCAGTGCCTTTCCTGAGCGTTGGATAGGTAGAGGTGGACACATACGATGGCCTAGAAGGTCACTCGATTTAAATCCTCTATATTTTTTATATGGGGGTTTTTCTACACATCTGACTACAAATATCAACCAACTGCGCCAGAAAATTGATGGACCAAACATAGAAATTATGTAAAACGCAATTTTATTCCAAAGACTAAAGGACAATTTTATTAGAAGGAGTCGCTTGTGTATAGAAAATAAATGAGGCCATTTTGAACATGTTCTTTAAAAGTTAGTTAAATTATCTTCCACATTTGTCGTTGAATCGCCATAATAGTACGGTGCACTTAGACCTAAACTTCAACATCCAAAGTAAAAGTTTCCCCCCAGTTACAAATTGTTCTATACGGTCCACATATTGTTCGGTAAAAAGTTACACCACTTGGAACATCGGCTTTGGGGGGGAGGGCGGTAGAAGTTGGTAAATAAGTACTTTTTATCAGTTTTTCTTGAATATTTCGAAAACTATGCGGTTTAGCGCAAAAAGTGATGTATATAAAAATAATCCACATTAAATTGCGAACAAAAATGATAATTTGCATAATTTTGCTAAAGTGAACAGTTCCAGAGTTATGAAAGATGAGAAAGTAGATATTTCACGTACCTAGACTTTTTGGAAAAAATGACACTAAGGAAACCAATTTTTGTTATGCAAGATTGGGTTTTGTAAAAGCGGTGATTTTAGTGGCCGGTTGCATGTTAGTGATAAACCCTTGAAGGGAAGAGAGGCTTCCTTAGGCCTAGGCCATATAAGCCTGTGGTGCGGATAAACCCACTCTGAACTTTCTCTGGACAATTCCGCATTAAGAATGAACTAGTATATTTGTGTAATAATTCTGAGATATAATTATATCTATTTAAACATATTTTTTTCTTAAACTGCAGCTTGTGGATGTTTTTCTGAATGTAGGCATATGAGTAGATATATATTTAATTGTATATATATTGCAACTATATTCCTATATATTTATTATAAATACGACCTTAAATTAATGTAGAGTATTCAGTCCTCGTCAAACATATCACCTTCTTCCTCTTCTATACGTATATCTTCTTCTATGCTCGTGTCTCTGTTATTACATCCTACGCCTAAGCAATTACCGCACATGCAGTTTAGACCACTCTTTCTGCATTCGCAGTTACGGACGCATTCGTCTTTGCAAGCGCACACTATGAGAGAAAGTGACTCCTGGGGAGCTGCAGGACATGCTGTTGTAATTGGTGTCAGGTGTTCGCCAATCTTTTTCCACCCCCACTCGAGCGGATTCTTGTTCTCATTCAGTCACTGCTGCACTTCGTGGTAGGTTCTAAATGCATGCTGCCTGGAAGCTGCTGAAGTGGGAGGAAGTGCAGCCAACTTGAGCAACGAATGTTTGGGCTGCTTTGCAATAGCCTGCAAGTAACACTGGTAGCGAAAAGTATAGATTTTCAGTGTTCTTGGCTCCAAAGCGTCTTCTGCTTTTGGCATCAGCACTTGACCCCCCTTTGGTTGTTGCTGCTCCTTTTTCAGGCTGTAATGATCCTGGCTTTTGAAATGTCTGGTAACAATGCCAGTGGTATCTCCCATCAGAACTGACGAGGTCTATGACCTGTCATCTTTACCTCATCTCCCCACTTGTCGTGCCTGTTGTTTGCTTCTGTTCGGATGCTTTCAATTAGTTCAAGTTTCTGTACTGAACTCCATTTTTCTTGAGCTGGGTTCCTGCATTTAGAGATATCTACACACTTGCGACCACAAAGAAAACATAAATTTTCAAAATCAAATGATTCACGTGGAATCTTTGCTGGAGGTTCAATTTCTCTTTGAGGTGGCTTCGGACGTAATATAAAAGTTTGTCGACACTTACTATGTACTTGAAGCGCGTCATTCTGCAGGAACTTTTTTTTAACATCATCTTTACGAATTTCACTGCATTGAATTATTTTGTCCACCGCCTTTTTAACCAGAGTAATTAGTTCACCACCCTTGTCCTTACAAGCCTTTAATACACACTCCGCCATAATTCACACACTTTCAAGTATTCATCATATAATGTAGTTCGCACAGTATTCTAAAGACAAGCGATAAAAAACGACGGCGGAACTTCACTAAAAAGTACAGGAAAAACGCATTCAACGACTGAAAACGCGAGCGAGTGACAGGTAGTGGCCGGAGTCGGCCAGCGCATGCGCGGCTTTGTAGCAGTGTTGCCAACAACACGGCAATTGCCGTGTTTTCAAGTCGTGTGAAGCTGAAGGGATGACCACGGCTTTAATGTACTGCCGTGTAACATCACGGCTTGTTTTCTTTAACACTTCTAAATACCATGTTTGACTATTAACATAAGAAAAACAAAAATTCAAAGTAAGAAATAATTATTTTAATATTAATTTCCCAAACGATCACACCTTTATCATATTATAAGATTTAAACTGATTTAAAATTATATTTAAAATAGGTAATGCTTGTTTTTTTTTCGTTCGTTCGTCATTGTCAAACGATATGACCTCTTTTAAAAGTCTTTTTTCAAACCTTAGTATTGTGTTTTATTATTTTATTTAATTTTTACGTCTAACACCGCCGTAGTTAGAAAAAACGGCAAGTTTTGATTATTGGTACGGCTTCTATTTTGTACAGGTTGGTAACAGTGCTTTGTAGTAGCAGGCGCGCTTTTATTAAACCGGTGCTTGCTCCTAGTACTTTTATGCTTCTGAACTTCTTTCGGACTATAAAACGATTGAACATTACTTTTTAATAAAATTGTTTATTTATTTCTGTTTAAATAGTAGTTATAATGTAATTTTTCCAAAAAGTCTAAAACTTACGAAAAATGTCTAATTTTACACCTACCGTAACTCCGGAATCATTCTCTTTAGCAAAATTATACATAGGATCATTTTTTGTTCGCAATTTAATGTAGATTATTTTTGTATACAATACTTTTTGCGTTAAACCTCATATTTGTCGAAATATTTAAGAAAAACTGATAAAAAGTACATATTTGCAAACTAAATGGTGTAACTTTTTACCAAACAATATGTGGACTGTATAGAATAATTTGGAGTTGGAGGGAAACTTTTACTTTGGATGTTGACGTTAGACCGTTTTTTGGACTCATTGCATCGTACTAATAAAGAGCGGCTAAACACAATAGGTTCTGTATTTGCAACTCACAACAACGAATGTGACATGATACACTCATCGTAGCAAGCTGAAATTTTCAGGGTCTATTTTACATGGATTGAAATAGTTTTTACAATAAAATGAATAATGGAATACAAATTCAATTTCTTTACCGCCCTCCAAAGTTAAGGGATGGAAGAGATCTTTCACAAAATGAATTTGAGATTTTTTTGCGTAGATTTCTAATTAGCTCTGTAAAAAAGTGACATAACCATTGCTAAAACTAACCATTTAGCTGATCTCAAAAAAAATCACAGCTCTAAACCTAATGATTTAATTGTAATTGCGATTGAAAGTTCATTATCCCGTTTTTTTTTCTAAATTTCACAAAATTGCAAATATCTCCTGAACTATAAAATTTCGGATCACACAATAGGGGTTTATTCGTTAGGTTTTGAGGCCCTCTATCACCTGACTTCTGTTGATCCACTACTAACTTTATACCCTGTATATCCATATCCACATATAAATATTTATCATGAGATCTGATATTTCACGAGCGTATAGCCTGGACGTCAGTAACTGTTGATGCATAATATTACCCAGAAATCCACTGACCTAATATAATAGATATTGCTTCAGATTATGGGAAACCCTGTACATGAATAATTTAGTTTTTGTGAAAAATGTTCTCTCTTATTTTTACCGACCTATGGAAACTTGGATACTATGGCATCTGCCCTCGCTTGCCCCTCCTGGGTTGGCCCTTGGTGGTCATTCTCAGAACCTGCCAAACATGAGAAGACACATATACGTGGGTTCCATGCACTTATACACCCAACTGTACGTGTTGACATTCTTAGCATTGCAACATAAATAATTACGATAAAATCCATGTACATTGTCGGTATATTTTGTTAAAGTATTGGGATTTTTACGCAATAAAAAGGTGGTAGACACGGAGCAGTCGCCGAAGCGGTACCATCCGTAGCTTTTTACCAGTGTCTTATAAATGTCCGCATGCTTCCACATCTAACCTATGCAGTCGGTTATCTTCCCCAACAAAGGAGTTAATGATGATGGATCCCTAGAGGACTAAGAATGCCGGACGTTACCTCACTCCACTCTCAGAATGTGCGGCTGAAGCCCGATATCGAGGAAACAACATCGATGATAAAATTTATTCTACGAACATCTGCGGGATTAACGCAGCATTGATGCTGTACATCACTACCTGCAATCCAATCGTCCCTCCATTGTTTTGTTGGCGGAGACATAAAATCTTGGAGTCTGCATCGATTAATCATCTTAGCTTCCCAAATTACGAAGTGCACTCCAATCTGAAAGCGGGAAAGAGGTTTTTGTCCGCGGAAGTCTTTCCTGCTCCAGAGATGTTTCTTTGGAATCAGGCCGAAAGGACATTCTGTGGCTGCGCCTCAACTCAACATCCCCCAAATTCATTTGCTGCTTTTATCGCTCTCGCTTGGACCATAACTGGGATGACCTACTTGAATACCTCGCTGTCAAGATCGACTTCCTGAACATCAATCACCCCGCTTCAGAGATAGTTCTCCTCGGTGATTTCAATGCCCATAATGAGATTTGGTTGGACTCAAACAAGACCGATGCAGCAGTTGAAGTACTTTTTTAGGTCGCGTTTCGTTACATGTCAGTAGCCTGCTGGATCTCTTTCTGACCACGCATCCTATCCTGTCTCCCCTGGGTAACTCAGACAACGGTATTATGGACGTTAGGTTTCGGTCAGAACCCGTTGTTGCAGCAGAAACTGCACAGACCACTAAATGTAGCATCACGGACATGCCGACTGGAACGGGCTCAGAGACTCACCTTACGTAAAGCGCCTAAACCAACGGCCCCTTCCATAAATCGTGCAACACTGCTTGCCAACGGAAGATCAAGGGACACAGAACCTGCCCTTACAACTACAGCCCTATAGCTCAGTTTCCTGTTATGAGTGAGGTGATGGAGAGGTGCACTGCTTGGTTAGCGACAGGCAGTATAATTTCCGGCACCAGAATTCCACAGGGGACCTCCTAGCTTACGTCACGCAATTGTGTAGTAAGCTCATCCAGTCTAAGTAAGACTCATGTCGTTGCTCTTGATATCACGAAAGCGTTCGATCAGCTGCCCGCTTATGCAAACTTCCATCCTATTCCTATGGCCTACCAGAAAAGCTTTCCAGATGGTTGGCCGACTTTCTCTCTGGCCGTAAGATATCCGTTGTAACTGACGGGTTCTCTTCATCCCACAACGTCAACGCGGGTGTACCCCAGAGATCGATCTTGGCCCAGACACTGTTTTTCTTACATATCAACGACTCCTTTCCTCTACGATCAATCCAATCCACAGCTTTGCTGATGGCAGCACACTACATGCAATAGTTCAGAGCGGCAACCAGATCTCTGCCAGTGAGTTAAAAAAAAAAACGAATTGCGGCTACTTCCTCACTGACGAAAGTCCTGGAGGTTATCACTGCTTGGGGACGCAACAATCTTGTACACTTTAATGCTTCCAAAACACAATACTGTACCATGCCGAACAAAAAGCGTCCTAGTGCTCATCCGGTTTCGACGTATGCAGTTGCTGGCAAAAAGCAAAGCAAGGCATTTGTTTAGGGCTAAGAAATACTTTTCTCCGCATGAACTCCTCACTCTATACAAGGCCAGGTAAGACCTTGCCTCGAGTATTGCTTACACGTATGGAGTGCTGTCGCCTCGAATACATTATTTATGCTCGATGCTGTCCAGAAGAGGGCTGTCCTACTAGCACTGGTGGGCCGTCGGCGATCTAACTCTCTTCTACCGCTATACCAACGGGCTCTGCTCCTCAGAACTATATGATGCTGTCACTGGATGTGCCTGCCAGACAGACCCGCCTGACTTCGGCCTCCCATCCTTACCGTGTTGAACTACATCCAGAACTGGCCGATAGGACCGCTCCTTTGTTCCGAGGGTGTCGCCAAAATTTCTTTGAGATCGTCATAGCAGCAGCGGTGTCCTGGTACTTAGGCTTCTGCCTGTGCGGCTGCTTCGGTGTAAACAAAAGATATTTTGACATGACATTGTTCTACAAGGTTCCGCGAGGAATTTCGGACGAAGTTTTTTATATGATATATTACTTGACTGATACTAGTACAAAGGTATACAAAATAAAAGATTTATTATAGTTCAACATTTTTGTATCTTTAGGCATACAATTTTTTAATTTCTGCTTTCAAACTACTAGATATCATTTTGTTTTCTTTCTTTTTTGCTTTCTTTCCGAATGAAGTGATGGCTCAATAATGGGATAAGCGAGTCCATTTTCTTAGTGACATCGTTTCCATAGGTTTGATCTGCAAATTCTTTGTTGTTCAAAGATCCAAAATAGACATGTATATTATCTATACATCTGTATACTTCTGACAGTAGCGTCTTCTGCATTTCTTCCTGAAAAGGACAAAGGGTACACAGATAAAAAAATGGATCCCATTGTTTGACCGAATCTGAAAGAGAAATTTAATACAAATAGGTTTCTAATAGCCTTAGGTCCGGTTTTCCAATGGCTGGTTAACTTTTGAGTTTGGCAACTATAACCTGTAAGTTAGCTATTAGCAGTCTGTAAGTTTCTTTTTCAAGTTCTGGTTAACCCACTGTTGAGCTGGCAACGCTGCTTTTATGCCTAAACTATTGCTATTATTCTGTGTAGTTTATGACGATCATTGTTTCCCGTATCATCCCTAACAACAAGCAAAACAGGTTAGGCATTTCTGGCCAACCCGTAGATAATCTTCTGGTCAAAGCTAACTGCCATTTTAGGACACGCGCATTTTGAGAGTCAACTTCTGGATAGCAGTAAAACCATAAATAACCTGTAACTGGAAAACTTGCCATTAGCAATAGTATTTGGCATGTAGGTTCACACCTACTGATGGATGTATAGAAAATGTGCAATGTGACTTGTTATCCTATGATATTAAAATGAATGGTCTCATGTTTAAATTAGCTGAAATTAGCCTGTAATCAATGGAAAGATGTCTCTATAATCTCTAGTCTAATTTTTCAGGACAGTTCCTCTTCTAATTGCAATATTATCAGGTGGTTCTCACGTCATGAGCGATCCAACGAGAGGATATTTAATGTAAGTACTGAAACTTATACCGTATCCTGTAGTAATCTCGCTGATTCAACTTTATACTATCCTGGCCGCTAAATAATACCGCAAAAGTTGTAGAAGTTTAGTTTACTAACAGTTCGACATTTCTACATATGTCTTTGTTTTCCAAGCAGTTTTTGCCGCTAGTATTCAGTGCGCCAAGAAGAATCCCTTTCGAAACTCCACCGCCGCCACGCGAAGTTTTTCTGAGGTTGCCTTGTCGTATGTCTTTATTTACCGGACGCATTTTAACACTATGGTATAGGATTCGGCACCAGCCTTAATTTTATTGGTCAATTTCAATTTATTTAACCAATAACAAGCTGGGTGCCGAAATCACTACCGGAATCTTAAACAGTGCTGAAAACAGTGTCAGAATGTTATCAATAAACTACTTCTACTAATATATATATATAATATATATATATTAGTAGAAGTAATAATCATAATGCGTACATAGGAATATTACTTGTTGCCTAAAAAATATATTTATTTTGTTCTCAATATTCAGTGTTTGTGTATATTTATTTCTTATAATGTATGTTTGGTATCACGTCATTATGAATCGCAAAAAAATATTAATACTACCAGTTGTAATAAAATATAAATTCAATTAATAATTCAAGTCTCTCCGATCTCCGCCTATGACTCCATATAAAATCGTCTAATGGTAAGGTTTTTTCATCGCATTTCCCCCTTTCGTCCCTAGCAATCTTTGGCTGGTCGATCAATATATATATATATATATATATATATATATATATAAATATAACTTGAGACGTGGTCATTGTCGTCTAGACCAGTTAGGTGAAAAATTAAAGCTTCCGCCTTTTGTTGGGTACTTCGACAACATTTAAGCAAGGAGGACTCTTTATACTTTTTTTATTCTCTCTAGCTTTCAATGGTCTTTGCCATCATCATCAGGAGAGTAGTATGTGAGGATGTTGTTAATTGTTGTTTACGTTAAGGATGTCCACCATTTTGTGCAATCACCAAGTGGCTTCACGATGTAATGTTTAACTTTCAATTTCTAAAAAATTTTTTAAACTGTTTTTTAACTTGTTCTTGTCATACAGCTGTGTGTATTTTATATAATTTTGACCATTGTACCATTTATCCAGCTTTCACCATGTTACTGGGTGTTTCCTCATCCTTAACGTAAACAACAATTAGCAACATCCTCACATGCTACTCTCCTGATGATGATGGCAAAGACCATTGAAAGCTAGAGAGAATAAAAAAAGTATAAAGAGTCCTTCTTGCTTAAATTTTGTCGAAGTACCCAACAAAAGGCGGAAGCTTTAATTTTTCACCTATATAAATATATATAAATTTTTCTTGTAATTTTTCTTATTGCTAAACCAAATTATTAATTTTAAAATCATTAAATATCGTAATAGGAAACAACGTGCATTGATTATTATCTTACGCATTTTTAGCGGAAGGTAAGTAAATTTAAATTTAAATTGATAACATTCTGACCCCATGCTCAGCACTGTTTAACATTCCGGTAGTGATTTCGGCACCCGGCTTGTTATTGGTTGAATAAATTGAAATTGACCAATAAAATTAAGGCTGGTGCCGAATCCTATACCATAGTGTTAAAATGCATCCCGGACGCGCAGGTATTTTATTTCGCCCCCTCGAAGATTAACCGACGTGCTAAATAGTCTAGTTATTTGGATACAAATCATGGGGAGCAAAGAAAAACAAATATTGTCATATACAAGTAATTTTTGGACAGGGAAAGCTTTTATAGCTTGACAGTATTGCCCTGTCGGCCCTTCCTGCCCGAAGTGTGAGATTTTCCAGAACTAACATAATCACTAAAGCCCCTCAGTCGTTGGCCACACATCCCACCACGGTAATGCTTGCAACATTTATTCGTAGTTGTAGTGTTGCACTCTAGGTACATGTACAATCGATCAAAATAGAAACCTACGATCGATTCCTTGGTCTGGTTTTGTTCTCCCCTACCTTACTCAGTATCATTCGCCTCACTATTGGCTGAATATCAACCCATCGTCCCTACATATATGCGAGGCAAAATTGTGAGCCTCTCGCATCAGCATCAGTTCCAGCTGTGTCTGGTAGTTAACCTACCTACCACATAGGCAATTCGCAAACTCTCTCTTTCCTACCCCATCAGGTAGCAGTCAAAACAACCATATCCTGTGAGGGCCTGTTCAGTATAGTAATCTATCCGCACCGCTCTCTTGTCAGTCCAACTTTTAATATCTGGAATCAGCCTTCTGGTCCATGCACGATGGCCAGTTATATCCTATATCTCCTGCCATCTGACAAAAAGCGCCTCTCTTTCGTCTGGTATGCCTTTTTCCAGAGTGCACATCTCTCCGCAGCCAGCAAATCAATTGGTGGGATACCAGTTACTACCTACTAATGCATCGGTCGACACCTTTCTGTAAGCGCATACCACGCGCAGCACTACTTTTTGCTGGCTTCTCAATATTAGCGGTCTGTATTTTTTCTTCATCAAGGCCTTGTTAATATAGAAGCTCCGTACAGCATAATCGAGTTTGCTGCTCCTGCCAAAATCCTGCGCCTTTCACTACTGGGGTCTCCATCAGATGGCATTAGCCGTATAAGAGATGCAACGACCTTATTTACCTTGTGAGTGTTGCGCCTAATATGTTCAATAATTTTCAGCTCTTTGTCAAGACCCACACCCAGATACTAAATTGCATTTTGGTTTAGAATCTCAGAATTATCAACCTTAAGACCAAATGAAGTTAGCTTCTGTCTGCCAAAAAGTATAACTACTTCCGTCTTCTCGGGAACCAGCTACAAGCCATTTTCTTTTATCCATATGATAATTCTCGTGATTCCGTATTGCAAGAGCCCTTCACGTGTATCTCTCTCCTTGCTAGTCACTATCATCGCAAAGTCGCCAGCATATCCTATCAAGCGAAAATTCCCGGCAGCATCTGCAACCAAAGAACCCTAACGTAGAACACATTCCAAAGCCACGGCACCACGACGGAGCCCTGCGCTACTCCCGTGGTTACCTTCACCGTCTTTTGCTCTACCACAAGTGTCCTCTCGTCAAAGTAGTTTTTTATCATGGTCAATAGATAGCAATAAAGGCGACACGCCACCTATAAGCAGTCTCAACAATCACGGTACTACCGGCCCCTACGTAATGCAGCAGGAAACCACAGTTACTCGGCATGTCTGGGCTACACTGTTCGCTTATATCAAGCCAAACAAGGACATCCACCACACAAGCGTCCCCTTGTCACTCAGGGGAATACTAAGTACTCACCATGCATCGACGTTTTATGTAGAAGTTACATAAACACAGGCTGAATTGGATGTTTGCTTTCGTCTCTCTGCCCATAACCACGGTCTGTATTTAGTTCATGCAACGTGACTTATATTTTTGTCTCGCAAAGCAAAAAACATGGTGCCCGTGTTCTATAGGTATGGAAGCACTATTCTGTAGCATTTTTTATCCATGAAAAGTACTCATGCAGTACTAGTAGAACAATGCATAATTGTTAAGGTTCTGAGCTTTATTGAGGTTGCTCGGTGCCATTTTAACGTTAATACGATACCTCTGCGTGGCTTTGGTGGAGTTACGAGTGTTCAAATGTATACTAGCAGTAAAAAAAATGAACTACTTTTTACTATCTACTTTAAAAAATGCCGCCAACTAGATTGACTTTGTATTTCCCACGCAACACTGTAATCAGTTCATAAAGGATTACGACCAGCACAAGCTCTGAGAAAAGAGTTAGCTACCAACATGTATAGAAAAAAATTAAATGTATCAAGTCAGTCAAACAGGCCCATATAATGAATGAAATACCTATTTTTCAAAAAATATCAGTTAAGATAGTTTACGTTGAACTACAGCACTGCAAACGTTTTTCAAATATCTTAAAATGTAACGGTTACGCTACCGAGGAGTTTCATATATGCAGATACCATATATCTTGCCAGAGTGTGTGATTGCGTGCGTGCGTGTGTGTGCGTGTGGGTAGGTGTGCGTGTGTATGTCTTGACAGTTTTGGTCTATTTGAACTACACAATCAACCAATTTGAATATGATACATATTTATACTGATAGTGGAGCATACGGTCAGTTTTAAGTCGGTAGGAGCATGATTTGGATACAAAGTGCTAGCTGATAATGTAGCACACGGTCCGTTTTAATTCGGTAGGAGCATGATTTGGATACAAAGTGCTAAATGATATCGTACCATTTTTATGCATAAAGAAGTAGGTTATTCAAGTATTTACAGTGTTGTATAAATATCACAGAGAAGTGATA